CATGAGCATCGATCCACGCAATTGGGATATGATGACATGCATCAACCAAGTCAGTGAGCCTGACCACCTGATCTTGTTAGTCGCTTCTTACAACAAGCATAGTCACCTTTTACAATTAGCATGGATTGCTGAAGACCTATTCTACCCCAGATCTTCACGGGTCTTAGCAAGAAGTAAACTATACTCAATGCCAAAAGAAACGCAAACCATACAAACATAGAGAAGTATGTACGTTAAGAAGAGATGTTTCCAGTGTGTACCAATTAATGACAAAACAAACAATCAGTCAAGTGTCTTTATTCTTATCACAATATGCTGCACGTGATTTCCAAATTTCACACTCTAATCCTCCACGAGACAGATTGTGCATCTCAAGTCATGGATCTATAACGTCACATGTGATGCGTTCATGAGCGTTGGTTCACACAACATACCAGCATGTTTGTTTGCGCTTCGAACCAATCTAATATCTCTTGAATATGAGTAATTCTTCAAATATTAACCAACATGTATTGTATTCACGTTTCTTTTGTCGATGAGTATATTTTTCACCAGGTGTACAATCTTCTCTGGTCAAGGAGGATGTAGTTTCAAATGTGAATATGCAATCTATATAAAAATGAACTGATATTATTTGCTGTTTTGCAGCATCAGTTTTATAAAGACTTATCACCATTCAAAGTTTTCACGTGCATATACATGAAATGAATCACTGAAGCTTGGAGCAGTGTATTGTGAACATATGAACATGAATTATGTATCTATGTCTGTTTCATGAAAATGTGTGTGGTAATTTTGATAGAAATACAATGAATATGAAATTACGTCCAAACTGAATTTAATGAAATTTTACAAAACAGTGAATGTCAAATATTGGAATGAAACTTTGGATTATGCATTTATATAACTGCAATGTACGTAGCTTGCGGCATTTGTTGTCCTCCAACTGCTATGACTCCTGCAACAGATGTAGGTGCAATTGCAGAATCAGTTGTGTGTATCACCACGACTGATTGCACAGTTGATGATGTAATGTTAATAGAAGTTATTAAGTCTTTCATGGGCAGGAGATATGACAAGTATTTGCTCAAGCAATACTGGTAAATTAGTCAACATTGAATAAATATGCACTAATTAGTCTTCTTTAAATGAGTCGATTAAATTACATTTTTTTTGTTTTCTTAAGTTCAGATATATTCAATGTTGCATTGAATTAATTCATGTAAAAAGTACATGTACATATATTTAAAACCTTTACTTATGTTAGGCTCTGTTACAAGTAAGATGACCCGTGAAGATCTGGGGTAGAATAGGTCTTCTGCAACCCATGCTTGATGTAAAAGGCGACTATGCTTGTTGTAAGAGGCAACTAACGGGATCGGGATAGATAGATATATCCCTGTAAATCCTGGATAAATAGACCCAGGTAAATCCTAGATAGATAGACCCAGGTAAATACTGGACAGATAGACCCAGGTAAATACTGGACAGATAGACCCAGGTAAATCCTGGATAGATAGACCCAGGTAAATACTGGACAGATAGACCCAGGTAAATACTGGACAGATAGACCCAGGTAAATACTGGACACATAGACCCAGGTAAATACTGGACAGATAGACCCAGGTAAATCCTGGATAGATAGACCCAGGTGAATACTGGACAGATAGACCCAGGTAAATACTGGATAGATAGACCCAGGTAAATCCTAGATAGATAGACCCAGGTAAATACTGGACAGATAGACCCAGGTAAATACTGGACAGATAGACCCAGGTAAATCCTGGATAGATAGACCCAGGAAAATCCTGGATAGATAGACCCAGGTAAATACTGGACAGATAGACCCAGGTAAATACTGGACAGATAGACCCAGGTAAATCCTGGATAGATAGACCCAGGTAAATACTGGACAGATAGACCCAGGTAAATAATGGACAGATAGACCCAGGTAAATACTGGATAGATAGACCCAGGTAAATCCTGGATAGATAGACCCAGGTAAATACTGAACAGATAGACCCAGGTAAATACTGGATAGATAGACCCAGGTAAATACTGGACAGATAGACCCTGGTAAATCCTGGATAGATAGACCCAGGTAAATACTGGACAGATAGACCCAGGTAAATACTGGACAGATAGACCCAGGTAAATCCTTGATAGATAGACCCAGGTAAATACTGGACAGATAGACCCAGGTAAATCCTGGATAGATAGACCCAGGTAAATACTGGACAGATAGACCCAGGTAAATACTGGACAGATAGACCCAGGTAAATACTGGACAGATAGACCTAGGTAAATCCTGGATTGATCGACCCAGGTAAATTCTGAATAGATTTACCAAGGGAAATCCTGAATTAATAGACCCTGTTAATCCTGGATAGATTGACCCAAGTAGATCTCTGGATAGATAGACCAAGGTAAATTCTGGATAGATAGACCCAGGGAAATCCTGCAAAGAAAGACCCAGGTTAATCCTGGACAAACAGACCTAGGTAAATCTGGCAAATTTAGATCCAGGTAAATCTCTGGACAAATAGACCTAGGTAAATCTGGCAAATTTAGATCCAGGTAAATCTCTGGACAAATAGACCTAGGTAAATCTGGCAAATTTAGATCCAGGTAAATCTCTGGACAAATAGACCTAGGTAAATCTGGCAAATTTAGATCCAGGTAAATCTCTGGACAAATAGACCTAGGTAAATCTGGCAAATTTAGATCCAGGTAAATCTCTGGACAAATAGACCTAGGTAAATCTGGCAAATTTAGATCCAGGTAAATCTCTGGACAAATAGACCTAGGTAAATCTGGCAAATTTAGATCCAGGTAAATCTCTGGACAAATAGACCTAGGTAAATCTGGCAAAGATAGATCCAGGTAAATCTCTGGACAAATAGACCTAGGTAAATCTTGGATGGAAGGACCAAGGTTAATCCCTGATTGATAGACCCAGGTATTGTAACCTTAGGTGTCGGCTACTATACCCTTCTACCTTTGGTCACTTGTACTTATCAACCACTCCTTTGTTCCTGGGATGATGTAGCTCTCAAAATCACAAGCCAGCTGGTTTGCTCAAGTCCTTTTTATTTATGATGGAATTAATCATAAATATGCACACATGGTCCTCAGATATTTTCTTGTAGCCTGTATAACTCAAATACAACACATACCTAAATGATGCATTGAAGAGCCTGATAGCATTTCTGATCAGCTGTTAACTCTAATACTTTTCTGCCCCGGAATCCCAATCTACAGCGAGAACCTCTCTGTTTAGCCGTGAGTTTCCGAATCCCCGCACAACTCCCGGACAACTAACAAAATACTATCGATGATAATTTTATCTCCACCCACCGAAATAATGTTCAAAGTCATACCGAAATGACTCTTAAGCTCATTTCAATAGAAGCTAATTTCCAATCTCTAAATGGCAGATTCAGTTTGCGCTATCAAACTCTTCTTGTCTAAAATAACTCAGTTAACTTTCTTAGTCAATCGAACATAGTTCATGAACCTAGGATGAAAGCCAGATGCTATGTTAAAATGGTATTTACCAATTTACCAAGATATCCTTAATCAGATTCCAATCAAGCAATAATTCATACAATATTTGCTCACTTCAAGACTGATTGTCTATTCCATCTTTTCATTTGCTCTCTTGTACTTATATTACAAGACCAGATCCTGCTAATTCCCTTTTACAGATGAGAATTTGTACTAAGAGCAACAGAATTGTTAACCTTTTGACCTCTTGGTTGAAGCCTCACCCAGTACAGTCACCTCTCACATGTCCATTTCGTATTTCAACCTAGAGCCTGATAGAATTTCATAAACCTCATTTTAAGTTAATATTAAAAACACTTTTTCCAAAATACCTTGGTTATGGTATATCCTGAACAGAGAGGCCCAGGTAAATTCTGGATAAATAGACCCTGTTAATCCTGGATAAATAGACCCTGTTAATCCTGGATAGATAGACCCTGTTAATCCTGGATAGATAGACCCCAGAACTCCCCAATACTTGTATCTATCAGTGTTCCCATTTACCAGTAATTACCAGGTTTTTTGCCAGAAAAATTAGACTTGGACTGGTAATTCATGTAACTGCCAGTCCCATATAATGGACCAGCAAATAAAGTACCTATTAAATCTTTGTTGTTGAACAAAACATTGGTGATATCCATATAAATATATTTTCAAACGAAGTCACCTTGTCTGTTACCATCAGGGTTTCCCCTCATCTATAATCCACCTCATCTTTGGTTCTAGGTTAAATATATATTTTTAGTGACTTTGTCTAAAAATATTAATTAAAAAAGAGAAAATTGTGGATGACGTGTAGATCTAACTAAGTTCAGAAGTAAAAGAAAGTAATCATTGGTAATTTTCATACATGTATGTTTTTATATATTTCTTTAAAGCTGGGCCTGACAAAAACTTGGGGGGAATGGTAATTTTTAGAGTTGCCAGTCCACCCATACTGGCAGTGTCAAAAGCTGGCAGGAACACTGTCCGTATGTGTACAGGAAACATAGATTACTGACACCCACTTTGTGTCAACAGCTGGTGCAGAGTATTCCTTGGGTATAGTGACAAGAGGATAGATTGACAAGATCATCTTTTAAATGCTATGTTTGTCTATGTCACCCAGGCTCGGCAACAGGTCGCCGTGACATTGATGACTGAGGCAATACAAGTGCATTCTCTCGCCCTTGAACCGAACTTTCAGAAGATGTCATGTATTCGTACATGTTTTGTGTGTTACAGGTTTCAAATACATGTTTTATCTATTACAGGTTTCAAATACATGTATTATCTATTACAGGTTTCAAATACATGTTTTATCTATTACAGGTTACAAATACTCATTTTGTCTTTAACAGGTTTCAAATACGTTTTATCTTTTACAGGTTTCAAATACATGTTTTATCTATTACAGGTTACAAATACACATTTTGTCTTTAACCGGTTTCAAATACATGTTTTATCTATTACAGGTTTCAAATCCAGAATAATAACTTGACAGAAGTTCATAGTAACCTCGCTGAAACAGCGTAGATCACCTCAGCATCTGCACCATGGGAGACATGAGAGAGACAGACAGCATCATCCAAGACGGAGTTGCAACCCCAGGGGATGGAGATGCTCCTGAGGTCATTGTTGAGTCCAAGGTCCAGATGAAACGGTCCATGAACCTGTTTCACTGTACAGCTCTCCTAGTGTCCATCACAGGCCATTCAGCAGTCTTCATAGCACCTTCAACGATCATCAAGTATTCCGGCTCCGTTGGGATGTCTCTGGTGGCCTGGATGGTTGGTGGTTTAATAAATCTCAGTTTGGCCTTGTGTTTTACCGAACTTGGCACCATGATGCCTAAAGCAGGTGGACCATACGCTTTCATCTACAGCACATTTGGCTCCCTGCCAGGCTTCCTGATCCTGTGGGGTTATATCGTGCTGATCTCAGGACCCTTCTGGGCCTTCCAGTCCAAGACTGCAGCGGTGTACATTGTGAAGGCTATCTTCCCAGGATGTGATGTTCCGGAAATGGAATGGGGTATCAAACTTTTTGCAGCATGGATTATAGGTGGGTGACCATTAATGAGTTTTCAAGCACTCAGACTTTATGAGATTTGATATTGAACCGCTGCAGATGTATTTTAAACAGGGAATGCATTCCTATTTTTCTTGGGATGTCACACAGGTGATTTGTCTCTCTCAGGTACTATCCTCGGGAATGTCATTTTTGTATTATGTTCACGTTTAATCAGGGCCCATTTGAACGTTTCTTAGCAATTTCATGCAATGTTTAATGAAGGGTACATGCTGTACAGTTATTGGCTAACAATACATATTTAGCGATGCTGTGTATGATTGTAGATGAGCCGATCTCATAGATAAGGCAGGGGCTGTCAGGGAGCCTAGTGGTTAAAGCGTTCGCTCGTCGCGCCGAAGACACAGGCTCGATTCCTGACATGGGTACAATATGGAAGCCCATTTCTGGTGTCCCCCGCCATGATATTGCTGGAATATTGCTAAAAGAGGCGTAAAACCTCACTCACTCACATAGATAAGCCTAGGTATTAACTTGGTCCTTGAAATCTGTATCACAATGTTATGTGCAGTAGCTGAGCTGGACCCACAACCTAAAAAACTATGTCTCATCATGATCTTTCATCGGAAATAGAAAATAAAAACATCTGTATTGAATTATGCAAGTTAATCCTTTCATTACACCATCAGTAATAAAAAGTGTTTAATTGTATGTCTGGACCCACGTTTGTAACCTTTTTTATTAATTTTAATCCAACTTTCATTCAATAATATTTACATTAACTTGTTAAATGTAGCAGGGTGTAGAGACATTGAACATAACATACCTTTTCCGCTTGACCTCTTTTGTTAGGTGGACAAGATAAGGTAAAAAGTTTCTGCGCATAATATTCAAATTTCTTTTTTTCCAAAATATTGAACCCGCTAGAGGGGGGTGCGCATTATACATGGGTGCGCACTATACTCAAGAAAATACGGTAAATGGTTTGATTCCCATAATGAAACTCGGACATGTTATCAGCACCATGTCTACTTTCTCCAAAATGAAACAGTAAGAACAAACTAATTCACCTTTAGCTAGTGACAGAAATATTCCTGTTCAATGTGTTTGTTTTGTGTTATGTTGACAGCTGTTACCATGGTTACTGGCATCATCATGATCACTGCCTGAGTTTACAATAATGTCCGCTCCTGTTACAGTGTCCTTAGTGACTCTCAACTGTGTGTACATGAAGTACGTGACCCGGGTGCAGACGATTCTGTCCAGTACCAAGATGCTCGCCTTGCTCATCATCATTGCTGGAGGTATTGCCATGGTGGCTAAGGGTAAGAGGGATGATCAGGGCTTCTGTAATGTGTCAGTGCTGTGATGAATGGGTGGCCTCAGGACTGAGGCACTTTTAATTGAGACATTCGTGTATTTTACCTGGTGGAGTTGACACATGACTTCCTATTGATGCTCATGATGTCAATCACTGGATTGTCTGGTCCAGACTTGATTATTTACTGACCACTGTCATCTAGATGGAATATTGCTGAGTGAGACGTTTAACAACAAACAAACAATCAAACAAATAAACATGACTTGCTGTTGGTCAGGGGTTTTACACCAAAACTAAAAGTTATGTTACTTTGGTTGGTGCTCGGGGAGCATGCTGTGTTTGGTTGGTGCTCGGCGAGCATGCTGTGTTTGGTTGGTGCTCAGCGAGCATGCTGTGTTTGGTTGGCGCTCGGCGAGCATGCTGTGTTTGGTTGGTGCTCGGCGAGCATGCTGTGTTTGGTTGGCGCTCGGCGAGCATGCTGTGTTTGGTTGGCGCTCGGCGAGCATGCTGTGTTTGGTTGGTGCTCGGCGAGCATGCTGTGTTTGGTTGGCGCTCGGGGAGCATGCTGTGTTTGGTTGGTGCTCGGCGAGCATGCTGTGTTTGGTCAGCGCTCGGCAAGCATGCTGTGTTTGGTTGGTGCTCGGCGAGCATGCTGTGTTTGGTTGGTGCTCGGCGAGCATGCTGTGTTTGGTTGGTGCTCGGCGAGCATGCTGTGTTTGCTTGGTGCTCGGCGAGCATGCTGTGTTTGGTTGGTGCTCGGCGAGCATGCTGTGTTTGGTTGGCGCTCGGCGAGCATGCTGTGTTTGGTTGGTGCTCGGCGAGCATGCTGTGTTTGGTTGGTGCTCGGCGAGCATGCTGTGTTTGGTTGGTGCTCGGCGAGCATGCTGTGTTTGGTCAGCGCTCGGCGAGCATGCTGTGTTTGGTTGGCGCTCGGCGAGCATGCTGTGTTTGGATGGCGCTCGGTGAGCATGCTGTGTTTGGTCAGCGCTCGGCGAGCATGCTGTGTTTGGTTGGCGCTCGGCGAGCATGCTGTGTTTGGCTCCTGCCCCCACTCTTCACTCCCACATTGCAGCAGAGTATATCATTTTGTACTAATATCTACTGTAGACGTTGTTTTACTGCCAGTTTTACCAGCATATGATGTTATTGCGGTAGCTCAATTCTATTTTTCTGTGTTTAATATCTGTAGTTTGTCGTGGTATAAAACTGTGCCCAGCTCACTCCATGTGTTGTCGTCCGTGGTCTAGTGGTAGAGCGTCTGCCCGGAGAGCGGAGGGTTCGGGGTTCGATCCCCGGCCGCGTCATACCAAAAGACGTTAAAAGATGGTACTTGTTGTTACCCTGTCTGGCTCTCGGCATTAAGGGGTTAAAGCAAGGACTGGTCGGCTCGGAGTATACTGTGTCTGAGTGGGGTATTTATGTTAAACTGCGGCATGTATCTCAGTGTGCTAGCACTATAAATCGGCATCAGTCTGGTCTAGTACAAGCAGCCACACACACACACACATGCATGCACGTCGCCATATAAGTGCAATAATCTTGGACACGACGTTAAACCCAATTTCACCTCACCTCACCATGTGTTGTCGGTAAAAAGAATCTCACGCTCGTGTCCTTTATATCAAATATATTAACACCAGTCCATTCAAGTTAAAACTTCTGAGGCTTATAAACTTTTATGACAAGTGTTGATATGTTTAATGTCAAAATAAATTGTGGGTAAGATTCTGTTTATCATCCAAACCATCCTTCCAACATCTTCAGTTTGTAAATAGTGATATTGAGTGTCTTGAATGTAAAACATACAGCTACAGCCCCAGTGGCAGAGATAAGTGATGACAATGTATGATGTCACAATGATCAGCAAAGCATTGTGATGCGATTTCATTGTAGCAATATCTTCCAGGAGATATCACTTGCTCTCACCCAATCAATATCTCCTGTGGAGGCCAATGTGGGATGATATGTGTTTGTACACTGAGACAGAGACAGTGTTATATTCCATGAACATTGTGACCATAATCTTCACTCTGTTGAACAATACACTGAGACAGAGACAGTGTTATATTCCATGAACATTGTGACCATAATCTTCACTCTGTTGAACAATACACTGAGACAGAGACAGTGTTATATTCCATGAACATTGTGACCATAATCTTCACTCTGTTGAACAATACACTGAGACAGTGTTATATTCCATGAACATTGTGACCATAATCTTCACTCTGTTGAACAATACACTGAGACAGAGACAGTGTTATATTCCATGAACATTGTGACCATAATCTTCACTCTGTTGAACAATACACTGAGACAGAGACAGTGTTATATTCCATGAACATTGTGACCATAATCTTCACTCTGTTGAACAATACACTGAGACAGAGACAGTGTTATATTCCATGAACATTGTGACCATAATCTTCTCTCTGTTGAACAATACACTGAGACAGAGACAGTGTTATATTCCATGAACATTGTGACCATAATCTTCACTCTGTTGAACAATACACTGAGACAGAGACAGTGTTATATTCCATGAACATTGTGACCATAATCTTCACTCTGTTGAACAATACACTGAGACAGAGACAGTGTTATATTCCATGAACATTGTGACCATAATCTTCACTCTGTTGAACAATACACTGAGACAGTGTTATATTCCATGAACATTGTGACCATAATCTTCACTCTGTTGAACAATACACTGAGACAGAGACAGTGTTATATTCCATGAACATTGTGACCATAATCTTCACTCTGTTGAACAATACACTGAGACAGAGACAGTGTTATATTCCATGAACATTGTGACCATAATCTTCACTCTGTTGAACAATACACTGAGACAGAGACAGTGTTATATTCCATGAACATTGTGACCATAATCTTCACTCTGTTGAACAATACACTGAGACAGAGACAGTGTTATATTCCATGAACATTGTGACCATAATCTTCACTCTGTTGAACAATACACTGAGACAGAGACAGTGTTATATTCCATGAACATTGTGACCATAATCTTCACTCTGTTGAACAATACACTGAGACAGAGACAGTGTTATATTCCATGAACATTGTGACCATAATCTTCACTCTGTTGAACAATACACTGAGACAGAGACAGTGTTATATTCCATGAACATTGTGACCATAATCTTCACTCTGTTGAACAATACACTGAGACAGAGACAGTGTTATATTCCATGAACATTGTGACCATAATCTTCACTCTGTTGAACAATACACTGAGACAGAGACAGTGTTATATTCCATGAACATTGTGACCATAATCTTCACTCTGTTGAACAATACACTGAGACAGAGACAGTGTTATATTCCATGAACATTGTGACCATAATCTTCACTCTGTTGAACAATACACTGAGACAGAGACAGTGTTATATTCCATGAACATTGTGACCATAATCTTCACTCTGTTGAACAATACACTGAGACAGAGACAGTATTATATTCCATGAACATTGTGACCATAATCTTCACTCTGTTGAACAATACACTGAGACAGAGACAGTGTTATATTCCATGAACATTGTGACCATAATCTTCACTCTGTTGAACAATACACTGAGACAGAGACAGTGTTATATTCCATGAACATTGTGACCATAATCTTCACTCTGTTGAACAATACACTGAGACAGAGACAGTGTTATATTCCATGAACATTGTGACCATAATCTTCACTCTGTTGAACAATACACTGAGACAGAGACAGTGTTATATTCCATGAACATTGTGACCATAATCTTCACTCGTGTTGAACAATACACTGAGACAGAGACAGTGTTATATTCCATGAACATTGTGACCATAATCTTCACTCTGTTGAACAATACACTGAGACAGAGACAGTGTTATATTCCATGAACATTGTGACCATAATCTTCACTCTGTTGAACAATACACTGAGTGAGTGAGTATGGCTTTTCGCCGCTTTTAGCAATATTCCAGCAATATCGTGGTGGGGGACACATGAAATTGGCCTCACACATTGTTCCCATGCGGGGCAATTGAGCCCGGGTCTTCGTTGTGACGAGCGAACACTTTGACCACAACCATCGTCCCAAACAATACATTGAGATGATGAAGTAGAGTAATGTGTGATTGCAGGAAACACGGAACACTTCGAGAGTCCCTTTGCAGATACTACCACAGATACCGGAGACTTGTCCCTGGCAATCTTCTTCTCCTTGTTTGGCTACGGTGGCTGGTAGGTGGACCTCAGTACGGATACATCGCTGCTAAGCAGCTTTATCTAAACGGGCATGTTTTGAGCTTCTTAACAGAATCTGACTGCCTTGGTACTTTGTTTCTGAAACCATAGCATCTGAGGGATATCCCTGATTTCTTTCTAGCTCTCAGCTATTTATTTCAAGGAATTCATCGGTCTGTTGAAATGCTTAGGTCATCTTTATGTCTAATTTTTTTTACTGTCTATCTTAAAATGCATTAATTTTAGACTGAAAAGGTCATGAATGACCTACATATAAGGTGAAGGTCACATTGAAAGTGATTCATTAAGTATATTTCCCATTTTTATACAATTGCCTTTCCATGTAGGTATTTCTAAATGGTATTCATGTAGTGGTTTTCATTATTTAAATATATTTATGTGAAAGTGATGTGAAATAAGATATCTTAGGGAATCTGAGGGAAGTGTATGGTCTGTGTTTCAGGCAGGTGCTGATGACCCTGTCTGAAGAGGTGAAGAACCCAGGAAGGTAGGGCGATAAGGGGAGGAGGAGGAGGGGGGGGGGGGGGGAGTGCAGGGATCCACACCTCTTGTTTATGAAGGATAATTAACATAGAAACATAGAAAATTACATTTAATATAATCATTTGGTGATATGTTTTCAACAACAATAACACCACAGCCATATGAAAATGGTTTCACAATTATTTACAGTGTAAAGTGTGTAAATGCTCCTCATTTGTCCACAATTTGTTCATGCTTGTGAGTGCATGTGGTGAAAGACGACCATCGGACCATCTGATCCCCAACAGTGTACACCCTGCTCACCCTGTCAGTTGGTGGGAAGTCTCCTTCTGCAAGTCTGGAAACCCTGCTGTAGTCACCCGGTAGGAGTGAGTGGGGTGAGTGAGGGGTTGAGTACGGTGGTGAGTGATGGGGTGAGTGCTTGGGTGAGTGAGGGGTTTCGTAAGGTGGTGAGTGCTTGGGTGAGTGAGTGAGTGGTTGAGTGAGTGATGGGGTGAGAGAGTGGTTGAGTGAGTTAGTGGTTGAGTGAGTGAGTGGGTGAGAGAGTGAGTGGTAATCGAGTGAGTGAGGGGTTGAGTGAGTGATGGGGTGAGTGAGTAAGTGGTTGAGTGAGTGATGGGGTGAGTGAGTGGTTGAGTGAGTGATGGGGTGAGTAGTTGAGTGAGTGATGGGGTGAGTGAGTGGTTGAGTGAGTTAGTGGTTGAGTGGGTGAGAGAGTGAGTGGTAATCGAGTGAGTGAGGGGTTGAGTGAGTGATGGGGTGAGTGAGTAAGTGGTTGAGTGAGTGATGGGGTGAGTGAGTGATGGGGTGAGTGAGTGGTTGAGTGAGAGTGGTTGATTGAGTGAGGGGTTGCATGAGTGATGGGACGAGTGAGTGAGGGGTTGAGTGAGTGATGGGATGAGTGAGTGAAAGAGGGGATCAGTTATTGGGTGAGTTAGTGAGGTTTTAACACTGCTTTCAAAAGTATTCCAGTTGTGTCTTCACATGTTATCTTAATGTGGGAGGAAAGCCAGGAAGTGATGCAGGTCTCAGATGTTTACCACCTGGAAAAAATCAGGGCAAACCTGGATTTCGAACCCACGTTAATAGGTTTCTGACATGCCCAAGGGACAGTACTCTTCACAGCGAATTGCCGCGCGTGAGTCTTCTGGCCCATGCCCCCTCACCAGTGGGAAGACATTGACATGATATTCATGACTCTCCTCATGTTTCAGAGTTCTCCCTATGTCGGTGTTCACAGCGTTCTTCATTGTGATCCTGAAAACAGTGCTGGTGAACATTGCTTACTTCACACTGATATCTCCAGAAGAAATGGCTGCCTCCAGAGCAGTTGGGCTGGTATGTAGGAGACACGTAATGATTGCTACCCCATTCATAGTATCCAGTGTGTGTCATAGCAAACAATATCAATCTGGAGGACTAGTGTGTCCTTCCTATCATGGGTTTATCTTGGCAGTCTCAGAGGCTGATATTCTACAACTCACCTACAGTAAATGTTGAAAAATGCTGAATTGGAAACACAGAATTCCCAATTCATTTCATGTTGTTTCATACTCTGTTAAAATTCAAATCACTGGAGTGTATCGAAAGTTTTTTTGAGAAAAGAGGAAATCATTTAGTGTAGTCTTATCAATTATAATGTCACAAGCTTTAGGATTAACTATTTTTGGTATAATGAAATACATGACAATACACTTTTTTGTGAAGTTGTGACATGTTTAAAAGGGCGGGTGATATTGATGACTTTGTCTTGTTTTTGTTTGTAACAGTGACTAATTTCATTCATCCTAGGGTCTGTGAGGAGAAAAAGGCCTCAACCCTTAGTTTTGTGCTTTTGATTGATGGCCATGCTAATACCTCTGAATTTAAGAAATTATGGATTGTAAAAAAATCAAATATTACAATTTTTGTCAAATTTGTCTGCACCAGTCAGTAAGAGGAATCCTCGATAAATCTGTGAGTATCCAAAAGGTCAGATTATTCCAAGACACAAAATACTAGTCTCAACAATCTCTCAAGACACTGAGTGTAACACCAGTAATATGATTTACTATGAACTATGGCCAATGGTTGACAGGCATGATAGGTGATTTGAGGTATGACTGGCTGAGATCTGTCCAAAGTATTACTACTATGAGATAACTGTCAAATGGCTATTTCAATCATTTACTGATAGTGTGGGGTTCACTGAATCTGAAGATATTCTAGAATTGCTTACCATTTATGAATAATTGCAAATTATCTGTCATGATTGAATTGATCTTGTAATTGACAATCTTTATTGAAAAAGACAGATAATGCGAAGAGTTGGGAATAGATAATTTTATATTCCAAAAGGAGGCATAAGCACTCTCGGGAAACGAGGCATTATTCAATCCAGGTCTTGTAAATCTTCACCGACATATAGTGTGCCCAAGACCACCATTGTTGGCCGGGGATGTTACATGTGTTTGATCTTGATTCCAGTTGTTTGTTGAAAGGCTGTATCCTCCATTGGTGCCTGTGATATCATTCCTAGTTGGAACCATCACAGTCGGTGCTTTGAATGCAGGGATTCTTGGACATTCCAGGTGAGTGCCAGGAATGGTCAGAATACAAGCCCCAAGGTAGGCATCATCTTGTCTCAGTAACAGAAGCACAAGGTAGGCATCATCTTGTCCCTGTACCAGAAGCACAAGGTAGGCATCATCTTGTCCCAGTAGCAGAAGCACAAGGGAGGAGTCATCTTGTCCCAGTAACAGAAGCACAAGGTAGGCTTCAATTTGTCCCAGTAACAGAAGCACAAGGTAGGCATCATCTTGTCCCAGTACCAGAAGCACAAGGTAGGCATCATCTTGTCCCAGTAACAGGAGCACCAGGTAGGCATCATCTTGTCTCAGTAACAGAAGCACAAGGTAGGCATCATCTTGTCCCAGTAACAGAAGCACAAGGTAGGAATCATCTTGTCCCAGTAACAGAAGCACAAGGTAGGCATCATCTTGTCCCAGTAACAGAAGCACAAGGTAGGCATCATCTTGTCCCAGTAACAGAAGCACAAGGTAGGAATCATCTTGTCCCAGTAACAGAAGCACAAGGTAGGCATCATCTTGTCTCAGTAACAGAAGCACAAGCTAGGCATCATCTTGTCCCAGTAACAGAAGCACAAAGTAGGCATCATCTTGTCTCTGTAACAGAAGCACAAGGTAGGCATCATCTTGTCCCAGTAACAGAAGCACAAGGTAGGCATCATCTCTTTCAGTAACAGAAGCACAAGGTAGAAGTCACCCCAGTAACAGAAGCACAAGGTAGGCATCATCTTGTCTCAGTAACAGAAGCACAAGGTAGGAGTCATCCCAGTAACAGAAGCACAAGGTGGGAGTCATCTTGTCCCAGTAACAGAAGCACTAGGTAGAAGTCATCCCAGTAACAGAAGCACATGGTGGGAGTCATCCCAGTAACAGAAGCACAAGGTGGGAGTCATCTTGTCCCAGTAACAGAAGCACTAGGTAGAAGTCATCCCAGTAACAGAAGCACATGGTGGGAGTCATCCCAGGAACAGAAGCACAAGGTAGGCATCATCTTGTCCCAGTAACAGAAGCACAAGGTGGGAGTCATCCCAGTAACAGAAGCACAAGGTGGGAGTCATCTTGTCCCAGTAACAGAAGCACTAGGTAGAAGTCATCCCAGTAACAGAAGCACATGGTGGGAGTCATCCCAGGAACAGAAGCACAAGGTAGGAGTCATCCCAGGAACAGAAGCACATGGTGGGAGTCATCTTGTCCCAGTAACAGAAGCACAAGGTAGGAGTCATCCCAGAAACAGGAGCACTATATTGTCAATATGATAGTAAGTATGTGTTGTTCTTCCAGACTGCTGTTTGCTGGCTCCAGGGTGGGGCATGCCTCAGTTCTGTTTGGGATGATCCACCAGAAGTACCTGACTCCTGGACCCTCTATAGTAATGCTGGTATGTACAAGCTATGAGTGAGCTTGTAGAGTTTTGTCTGTCAATCAGGTGTTGACCTGTGTATCACCTGTACATGAATTCAGCAGTGTGGCATCATTGATATTTCCTGTATAAATATTGCATCCTTGTTATGCTTTCTGACATATAAGTGGATGATGTTGAAGGTCCAATTATCTGTATTACAGGTGTTGTGTCTCTAGTATGTTGCCTGTCCATCTGTTACAGGCAGTGTGTCTCTAGTATGTTGCCTGTCCATCTGTTACAGGCAGTGTGTCTCTAGTATGTTGCCTGTCCATCTGTTACAGGCATTGTGTCTCTAGTATGTTGCCTGTCCATCTGTTACAGGCATTGTGTCTCTAGTATGTTGCCTGTCCATCTGTTACAGGCAGTGTGTCTCTAGTATGTTGCCTGTCCATCTGTTACAGGCAGTGTGGTCTCTGGTGATGCTGTTTGTTGGTGGGTTCACCACAATGATGCGATACATCACCCTGTTCTCCAACACAATGAGTATGAGCGTTGTCATTGCCTTACTGTACCTGCGCTGGGTGAAACCTGATGAACCACGTCCATTCAAGGTCAGTTACACCTGTTTATCAAGCACATCACACTTTAGGGACCGGTCATTCATTATAGGGGGTGGGACTGAGGGGAGGGTCCCCAAATCATGTGACAGTCGCTAGGGGAGGGTCATTAAAAAACAACCCAGACACAGGGTTGGGGTAGATATGAAAAAATTGGACAAGGACATGTGGAGGGTCAACCAAAAGTATGACAAACATTATAAGAAGGTCATTATTTTCAGTACATTGGTGCATCAAAAACCTCTAACCCACACTTCTGTAATACATGATCAGTCCCTTAATGCATATTGGAATCTAGTGGTGTGTTCATTTCTTTGAAAAATGACAATTTTGATCATATAATAAGTTGTCAGTTGGGAAATAGATGATGTATTTGCTTCAACTTTGGATTCTTGACTTAAAAAAATTTGATTATTGTTCATACATCATAGTGTAATATATTGTAACATAGTAAATGACAAATGTCAAATATATGACAATGCCTAGTAGAGATAGTTATCTGCCCACCTAACCAATTCCACTGAGAGTAATCTCCCCTTTATTTCAGGTACCGTTGTTTGTGCCAGTATTACAAGTGTTTGTGGTCACTTTCATCCTGGCGCTAGCTGTGTATCAGAGACCAGTGGAGATGGGAACAGCTCTGTTCATCATGTGCCTGGGCGTGCCAGCGTACCTCTTTTTTGTCACCTGGACACACAAGCCGAGATTCATAGCAACATTTATAGGTTGGTAATGATTCACTTGTGCAGTATCTTAAGAGGCATGAAGAATTCAAAAAGGCTGCAGTTAGTAGTAATCGGTTGAGCAATAAGTTTAAAATTCTCAAAAGTGTCAATGTCAGTTTGCTGATAATAGGAAATTGTATATCTTGCCAGTTTTGAATGAGGCGCCACTTCCTGTATTTGACATTTGGCTTGTTGCGACTAAAATACAACACTTAACACTTTTGGCTTCTTTTTCATTTCAGAAAAGTTCACAATTGCCGTCCAGAAGATATTTTTTGTTGTGAAGACATCATAGTGTATAGGATATATTATGGGGACAGATGTACTTTTAAAATATTTGAACTGTGCACATACATGTTTATATCTGCATACCAATATGCCTCCAGGATGTACTTAGTAGACTGGAGTTTCGTCATCAGTGTAAAACCACTGGTTATAAAGTCAGTCTATGGTACCTTCAGACAATACTCTTTACAACATCAATAGTTTAAGACCCTTTTAAAATATTATATAAAATACATTATATTATGTTATTCTAAGTTATCTTTAACATGTTTAAGATGACCCCACATATACCATGAAGGCGACAGTTATCGTGGACCCTCCCCTAACTTTGCATAGTTGAGCTTGTTCCCCTGGGTTTGATTGTGTCAAATGAAAAGCAGAATACTACTGTCCAGATAGACAGGGTTCCACTGTTTAAAGGTGAAACGATGAGTTTTCATGTCACGATGTGACACACGATACCTTTTTTTCTTTTCAATAAAAGATGATACACTTGCAGAAATAAATTACATACTACTCGTTTAACATGTGTTTAATGACCCCCCCAGCATTTGTCAATCAAATATCGCAAGATGTGTTGTAATTAATTCACTACTAAAAATAGCCACTAAAAACGTGTCTACAGTTAGCTTTTCCTTTTGAATCTACTCTGAAATATATTGTCAAGACGTTTGTGCGATTTGACGTAAATATGTGTATCATGGTACGTATCGTGACCCTCATATCGTGACCTTGTATCGTTTTCACCCATAGTATTGCAGTAATATTTCAGGGATGGAAATTAACTCAAAAACAAGCCCTCAGGGCCAGTGAGATTTTGTTTCTGCAAGGCCTACAAAAGGACACTAATATCCATTCCTTCTCTTTGCTTGATCAAGCTCTCAAACAAATTAACACCTGCCGTATAACAACATGACGGCTGTATTATCAGGCTTAATTGCAATGTAATTATCAGCATGTCCTTATATTGACATGACACTCAAATCAGTACTGAGGCTTGCTTTATTTGAGGGACCATAGTAGTTTCATTGATAGTGAAATTTATTCTTCTGTATAAACAATTAAATATACATTTTACATATTTGACCCACTGGAAATGTCAAATAAATTATCATAAAATTACTGTAAGCTTGCTGTTATGATTGACTTCTAGCCATTTTTGTTTCTTCGACATTATTTAGGACATAGGTATTGTTAAAATGAGAGAAATAGGATTTTCCTTCAATATTTCAAGAGACAATTAACTATGAACATGTCCATGACCCACGATTAGTTGTACACTATATGTTGTATTGCTTTAACCTATATCTGCTCAGGAAACATTCTTGGATTAAAGACTTTCTTGTATTCAATGTCAGAAAAAAAATTCCTGTAAACCTCTGTGAGCAGCATCTTTGACAAATCTAACCTCACTGCTTCATTTGGTTACGTTGAAAGCCCAAGATCCTGAGCATGTTGAACACAAAGACTGAACTGCCCTTTGGACACATTGAATAACTTCTGAATAATTTCTACTGTTTCTTATTTCTAAAATTATTGACGGGCCCAAAAAGTGTTCTTATCATACCCATACCTTAACAAGGTTTAATGTTTTCAATGTTGATGAAATTGTTGCCCATCTTTTTGGTGGAGTATATTAATGAGATGCTGTGTCTGTTAATTTTTTATAAGAGTGTAATAATGGACAAACTGTCCCAAACACCGATTCTTGGTGCAAGGCTACATGTTGATACACAGGTGTCTGTCTCCAAACCAGTTGTCTCCCTTTGGTCTCTCTTATAGTAACTGATTGTGACTTAATCAGTGATGTTATATATTGTTTTTTTTATTGTTGTTGATATACACCAGAAATGTCTGGTTGTGTCGTTTGTTTTTACAGTATGCCACATTTTTACTGTATTTGTTAATACAGTACTGTTTAATATATCATTTCTAATATGGTTGGGTATCATTGACAGGACATTCATAAGAACACACCAGTAACGTGAGTGGCAGGGATATTATTGAGTATGAAATTCACAAAAATCATAATTTTTCTACAAATTGATTGGCTGGTGCACAATTACTGTTTCATTGTTTGCAAAATGTCCTTTGCAACGTATCATAGATCCATTTGTTGCCGCGAATAATGATGACCACTTTGTCTGCAATGTCACAGAAGATTCTGTGTGGCATCCGTCTTATAATGGAATGAGTGTCCTGACACTGATTATGGGTAATAAATTAAAAATAAATCTATTCATGAATCATTTTGACGGATTATGTTTCATAATTGTTATGTGTTTTTTATGGTAAATCAAATACATGAAATGTGTTTGTTGCAGCTGCAATTGTAAGATGGAAGATGCCAAGCTTGGATATTTAGACATAGCGGGTATTTTTCAAATTAAACCAGAATATAAAATGGTTCAAAGTTTAAATATATTATGCAAGATTCAAGGCAATATGTCACATGCCACTGAGAACTGGTTGGGTATGAGGTGCTTTAAAATCAGTTATGATTGTTATTTTACTAGTAATGGAGTTGCCAATTTTGGACAAAGCCCTTTCATTATTCATAAGAAATCCAACTATATCATGAGCATGTGTTTATGAAACACTATCAAATAGATCATTGGTGATGCTGGTATTTCAGTGACCAAGATATATGTGCATATTTTTCTTTTCATTATTGTACCTTAACTGAAGGTTCACATAGCATTATGCCATCCGTCGTTCATCACTCTGTTGTGTCTATATTTGTTACTGAAGGTTCACATAGCATGTCACCATCCGTCGTTCATCACTCTGTTCAGCTGTGTCTACATTTGTCACTTCATCTTTGAAATCGGAATGTCTATGATGGAACTCTCCATGCATTGGTCTTGCAAAACATGTAAAACTTGTATCCCATGACGGCCATACTGGAACTTTCATTCTGGTTAGCTGTCTTTTCATATGTCAATGTGTAATTAATTATCTGGTCAGTATGTGTAAAAGTAAAATTTAAAGATATTTTGTGTGTGCATTTATAAGAAATAGTAACTCTTAAACTTCCCAATTTAAAACCCTGTATTGACATCTCAGAAACCATTGACTGTGGGAAGCTAAAATTTGTATGTACTAGGATATGATTATGTCCTTAAAACCTACTGAAACCGGGTGAGTTTTTAACATTCAGGGTAGTAATTCTTAAATTTTTAAACTTGTACCAATCAGCTGTTTGGTTTTTATTTTGACTGCACTTAATTGGTTTAATGCATACTTTACGGACATGTTATATTGCTGTAATGTCAATTCATGTACATTTCCGACACTGGAGCCCCACCCTCAGAATGAAACTGTGATCGATGTCATATATTTCAGATGATCATTTACTATGGCCCTCCCACAGAATGAAAATGACTGATATGTATTTCAGCGGATCATTACCTCTGGCCTTACGTACAAAATGACTACTGTGATCGATGTCATATATGTCAGATGATCATTTACTCTGGCCCTCCCACAGAATGAAAATGACTGATATGTATTTCAGCGGATCATTACCTCTGGCCTTACGTACAAAATGACTACTGTGATCGATGTCATATATGTCAGATGATCATTTACTATGGCCCTCCCACAGAATGAAAATGACTGATATGTATTTCAGCGGATCATTACCTCTGGCCTTACGTACAAAATGACTACTGTGATCGATGTCATATATGTCAGATTATCATTTACTCTGGCCCTCCCACAGAATGAAAATGACTGATATGTATTTCAGCGGATCATTACCTCTGGCCGTACGTACAAAATGACTACTGTGATCGATGTCATATATGTCAGATTATCATTTACTCTGGCCCTCCCACAGAATGAAACTGATTGATATGTATTTCAGCCATTCATTACCTACGACGTTAAACACAAAATGACTACTGTGATCGATGTCATATATGTCAGATGATCATTTACTCTGGCCCACCCACAGAATGAAACTGATTGATATGTATTTCAGCCATTCATTACCTACGGGGTTACACACAAAATGACTGTTCTGTGATCCAGACAATACATAGTACCTGGTGCCTCGCTGTTCCTGGCTACTTGGTGCCTTACCAGGGCGGTTAAAGCATATGCTCGTCACACCGAAGACCCGGGTTCGATTCCAGACATGGGTACAATGTGTGAAGCCCATTTCTGGTGTCCCCAGCTGATATTGCTGGAATATTGCTAAAAGCGGCGTAAAACCACACTCACTCACACTTGGTGCCTTCCCACTTTCAACATTGATACCTCATATTGTGCCTTTGTATCAGGAGAGGCTGTGTTTTTCATTTTGTCAAGAACATTCTATTTGACAATGTGTATTAATATATGATATTTTTCGGACATGAATTTATTGTAAGAATTTGAAAATGTCCATATCCTTGCAAATTTGAGTCAGTTTGAATTTCATGATATATACAGCTCTGTCAAGTAATACATCATGACACTGTGTAGAGTGCATATCATTATAAAATAAGGTTTCTACCACACACTGCATGGTAAACAAAGGTAGCAAAATGTCTTAAAACATTTGAAGTAGACATGAGTATATTAAATTCTACCAGCGATGGGTGGACATGAAATTTCTGGAATAAGTACATTTGGCAGAGATCTTTATGCAGACTGGAGATTAGCGAAAATGGTACTCTGTCTCAACGTAGCCCAGGTTGCAGACCTTGCGCGGTGTTTCTTCTCTAGGAATGTGTTCATCCACCTGTTTCAATACATAATTCATGTGGACTTCAGTGAAGCTGTGCAAAAGTGTACCTGAGTTTACTTACTGTTACTGCATTTATATAAGGCTCAAGAGAAAATTTGTCTTGAATAACAGTTCATTAGAATTAAAAAATGTCAAATCCAGAGAATAATTAGTCTTAAATATCTTACAAAACAGATGCCCTGGGGAGTTATTTTGTTACAGTGCACTTTTGTGAATGTGTGTCCATTATTGTCATTATCATTATCATCCTGTACATATGTTCTTGTAGAATCCTCCTGTTCTAGAACTTGCAAGGAGCGGTCCGGTAGCCTTGTGGTTAAGGCATTCGCTCATCACGCCAAAGATCTGGGTTCGATTTTCCCGACATGGGTACATTGTGTGAAGCCCATTTCTGATGTCCCCCGCAGTCATATTGCTGGAATATTGCCAAAAGCGGCGTAAAACCATACTCACTCACTCACTCTAGAATTTTGAATGCTTATACATGTATACTGAAAGATATATTCTGTACACTAGATTATATATTTACACTAGATCAGGGTGTTTTTCTTGTTTGTGTTAGCAAGTTATGCATACTTATTATAGTATTGTGAAATATATACACCTTCGCAAGGGTGACTGTTGGGACTGACTGTTATTTTTAGAAGCATGATTCATAGGAGGCTAGTTTCTGGAACCAACTCTTTAAGTGTAAAATTAAATAAAGAAAATAAATATAAAATAGTTTCATAGTTTCTTAAAATAAGTAGAAAATAATGAAAGCATGATTTCAGACAAACAAGGCATTGATTTTATTTTACATAACTTAGAGAATGGAAAACAAGGAAGTATGTTACCATGGTTACTCTGACTTCCTGTCTTCCTGTATGTGTCTGTGCAGTATTACTCAATGCTGGGTCCTCTTGCACAAAGCGATCTTAGCGCTAAGACTATTGTAAGCCTATGTTAAAGTATGGGAGTTACGATCATCTTAGCGCTAAGACCGCTTTGTGCATGAGGGCCCTGGTCAGTAATTTACAAGCTGACTATTTCAAATGTTGACACCAGCATCAGCAGGACACAATGTACTGTGTTCATCACTCAGCAACTTGCTCAAGTCTATTTTGATATATGTATACAACTCAACATTTGCTGAGGAACAAACTAGTCATCTTTAGTCAAAGGTGTGGTTCTTAGGAAATGTTGAGTAGTATAAAATACTATGGCTCATGAATCTTACATTGTGAGAAGAAGAACCATTTCTTTCTGACAATGGACCCATTCCTTCTGACTTTTATATGTTTGAATAAAGATAAAACTTCATGCAGTAAACGTTAGTGTATGCATGACCAGATCATTTTACACATATATCTAAATACATTTTGCCAGGGCTACAGTCAAACTTTTCCAAATCCGACAGTTTGTACCTATCTCTAAATATCTACAACGGGTACCCGGGTAAGTCGGGTAATAGTGTGGGGGGTACCTGGGTAGTAAATTTGGACTCGTCCCAGTCCTAGTTTCTTAAACTCAAGCAATATGACCAAGCATAATGTGTTATTGATTGGGGATTACTCAAGACAAAAAATGAAGACTAAGACAATTGGAGCAATACACAAGGTAGAAATGGACAAACTGTCTGAGAAGCAACTGATTTTATTGTTCAAACATATCCACATTTTATATTTAATTTGAAATAAATTAATAACCATCAACATCGCACTTTGGTGCAGCTGATCGCTATTGCCAGATATTATTTCGTATGGCACAGTTTTACCAATCACTGTCGATGCTCCTGCACTCGCGATAGCGAAAACTTTATGTTGACATATACCAGTTGAACTACAACAAATATGACTTTCAGCAAGTCATTGTATAGCATTTATTATATTTATATATATTCTCTATCCGCTAAAGTTCGATTCAAGGCGTAAATTATGGCCATCTGACCGTGGTAACTTTATATAACGGTCAGATCTGCGATCTTCAGATCACTTCACATACAACTTCGCCGAAATGAATGTAAACAATATTGAATGAAAGTTTGAATAAAATATAAATTATGTCACAAACATAAGTCCAGATATACAATGAACATTTTATATAACCAGACATTGTAATTCCATGATTAATTAGTGTACTTCAGTATGGATTTGTTGACATGATATTTCCGGTGCTCCGTGCTCACAGTAATATGTATGTTGGCAAAATAAACATCAAAACTCTTCAACCCTGTGTATAAGATGACCCCCCCACACACACTTGAAAGCCCCCGAATTCTAAGTACGAAAAAACTTGCCATACACACAGCGATTTATGGTATGTGAATTTAACTGTATGATATTTAATACATTAAGGTCCATGACACAGGTGTATGTAGCACTTCTGAAGTTCAAACTAGAATTGTCCCAATAAACAGCTGTTATGATTAGGGAAATATTGGCCTTAAGTTTTGTAAATAACTGAGCTTTGTTTTTTCTTGTTTTTCTCCACTTCAACTTTATCCATTGTTGCTTTCATTTCAGATATGAGAATACAACAAGGTGCAATAGAGAACATTATTAACTTCACTGAAATGTTTCGATCGATGTGTTTGTACAATACATAAGCCAGCAGTAGGTCATCACATGTGTTCAGCTAGAAAAACTGGTGTCCTCGGTCTGGGGAGACAATCAGTTATTCCAGGAACCTTGCTTAGAAACGACGAGTAAACATTTGCCAGGACAACAGTATTTTCCAGTCAATTTGACAGAGTATAGAAGATCATCATAAAGGCTATCCTTGTTTTAGATGTAACTGTTTGACTTCATGAAAAAGCTTTGGCCTTTTATTTATTTGATTTGTGTGAAAAAGACAGGTTTTCTTTGACAAAAGTTTTCAAAATAAATTTTCCAAATAAACGTTTTTTTAGTCAGAAATTTTGATCAGCTTGAATTATTGATGAAGTTGGGTAATAGCTAAGAAAAATATCACTGGT